CAATATCAAATAAACGTACACACTTAATACCCAATCATCGAATATTTTCATTTTCATTTATTTTTGGCAGTGAAGGTATTTTCATCTCATCTCTCGATGATTGATAAACGGCATCGACGCCTGACTCTCGACATCCTAATACTAATCATTTTAAGCACAAATTCTAGTTAAATGACTTATTATTTTTAAATTATTTTTAAAATTATACTTATTAAATTTTTATACTCTATTTTTTAAATATAAAAACTATAATACCGTGTCCAACCCGTGTCTGTGTCCTATATTTTTAATAACTGACGTATCCCGTGTCGTGTCGTATCCATGTCGTCGTGTCCGTGTCTGTGCATCATAGAACTAGGCTATCACACTCATATCTCATCCCTTTCTTCCGAGCAGCCAACAACAACCATCTACACCCTCTTCTTTCTTCTGAAGTCCTAACTGTCAACCCTTCTTCCTCTTTCGACCGGAAGCTAACAATAGAGAAGTCTTCTCCTTTCTTGCTTTCCCTCCAAATATAAGTGAGCTTCTTCTTATTCTTCTTTTATCTTCTCAACTCATAAATTTATATTTATAATTGATTTAATACATGAATACAAACAGATACTTATGTAATATCTATTATTGAAAACATAACAAATAACAAATTATTTATGTTTTAGTTAGGCATTTTAAAATTATTATTTGTGTTGGGAATTGAATGGAGAAATCTTGACTTCACAAATTTGGGATAGATCATTGCAATGATTACTTCAAGTTGATTATAGGAAAACCTATATTTTGTGGGCTGTATTCTATCAACTAAAACTTAATTTTCAATGTCTTTATTTAAGAATTTGTGTAACTAATGTTCGATTACATTAAACCTTATTTTCTCTTGTATTTTAATTGTGTATTGTAGATATTTTCTTAATTTAGATTTGTTTGTAAGGTACCTTCAAGTTGATTGTTAACCTGATATGACCAGTTGGATCATAATATAGATTGAATCTTTGCGATAATCAATATAAGTGATGGTGGCTAACTTAGATATACTAGGATATATCTATCATATTAGAATAATTATTTTTTATGCCTCCATATGCATACTTATAATTGATTGATTTTGCTTTTTTAAAGCTTTTGCTTGGTGAAATTTACTAGACCTCAATTGAATTTAGAGTTCATTCCACTCGTTGTAAGTAATTGTTATTTATTATAAATAAAAATATCACTTTTTCATTACGCCGGAATTTGTATTACATAAATTAGGTTCTCAGATATTCGATTAAATTGTCAATCATGCCTTTATTTTACAATTATCTATTACACGCATGATTTTAAATATGTTTTTATGATCATAATAAAATAACCAATTGCATAAATTGGTTTATTTTGGTTTATTACTACATAAACTCCCATATGTTAACTTTATTTCCTATAATAGAAGATCTATTTTTCATGCACATTATTTCTATTACATAAGGGTGTCACTATTCAACATGAATCGAGAACCCAACCCAAAACTTCTGGGTTCGGATCAACTCGCTTAGGAAACGGGTCGAATTCGGGTGTCAAATTCTGACCCGATTGTAAATCCATATCGAGTTAACCCTAAAACCTAAACATAACCCGAAACTGACCTAGTCATCTCCTGCATAGTAGAGTGACCTCGTCCCACGCTCGCAGCCTGGAACCACAACCCCCTCCCGCGCTCGAATCGTGCCTTGCCTCGTGCTTGCCCCTACTCGTCCCAATGTCCTGCGCTCAACTTCCTCACCCAAGCTCGCGCTCTCATCATTGCACGATTGCGGGTTCGCGGGTTGGGTCGGGTCCACCCAAAAACTCGGTGAGTCAGGTTCGAGTCTAAAATTCTGACCCGTTTGCCTAATTGAGTTAGAGCAGTTGGAAGCAGGTCAGTTTCGGGCTAGACTTGAACCCGATACGAAAACTCATTTTGACACCCCTACTATTAAATGCGATAAATTTGATTTCTACAAATCATATTTTGTTATAAAATAGAAAGTCATATCGAAGATATAAAACCTGTTTAAAAACTTGTTTATGACAAACATAGAAATTGTATGCCTGAATGTAGAACCCTTTTGGATATTGACTAGTTGGGCTAACAAACTCATTTAACGACAACACAAAGATACAACTCAATAACAAATCATTGAATTTCCTTTGTAGGTGCTTACATTCCAAATTTTATGGAGTTTTAATAAAATTGACTATAAATATGTAAATATATATAAATAAAAAATGATGAATGATTGATGAGTTATATTATGAGATGTATGACAATACCTAATAAGGTTGCATTTGGATGTGATAGAATATAATTTGCATTTATTGTAGTTATCATACTCACTGATTATAAACATCACCATATTAGAAACTTGCTTATTCATATATTGAAATCTTATCACAACCTTATTCTAGGATGACATGATAACATGCTATAATAAAGTTGTTTGTGTCAACTCTATTGTTCACATTGCATGCCCCTGCAACCTCTTGTTTATGCTTTAATAGATAGTGATTAGTTGCAGGGATTGAATTCTTAAACTCACTCTTTGTTAACATTTCTTATAGCATGTTCTACCCAAGTGCTTGGTGGACTATTACCATAAGAGCAAACTTCTCAGCAATAGGATCTCATTTGATAATTTTTGTAGTAGTCTATTTATATTCTATTTCAATTTGTGTAATTATATTTCTTTTCATTTATTGTTGTTCCTAGTTAATTGATACACTCTAATTATAATTCATAATAATGAAATGAGATGAAATAGAAAAAATAATAAATGAGGTAGGAATCCACTTCATTTATTGTTGTTTCTACTTCTTTCAATTTTTTTATTGTTGTTCCTTTGAATTTTCTATTTACGCTTTAACAAATGGTAATTTACTTACCGTTGCTTACTCTTATGTTACACTTATATTATCTATGTATGAATTTTTTCTTTTGAGATCAAAACATATTTCATATCCCCACATCACACCCTATGTTACTGATGTAGGAAAAAAAAACATTTCCTTGGATATTTAATGTTGGGCTAAAATTAGCTTAATGGGCTTGACCCATTTCCTTTTTGTTGTTTGGTGTTTGGATGGTTGTTGGGTGCCTGGATGTTTGATTCCTGAGCCTGCCGTGCCTTTTTCATTGGTTTATGTTGGGTTTCTTGGCTGTTCCGATTATGGTTGGCTATTGGGCTGCTTGTCCGTTCGGTTCTTGGGCTAGTCGTGCCTTTTTCCTGGGTTTTCCCTCTGTTTTGATTGGCTAATTTGGGCGGCTACTTTAAGTGTTTGTTGGTTTCCTTTCCCTATTTATAGGGGTAGTTGGATGTTGTTGGAGGAGGTGGTTGAACCTTATTTTGTCTCTAAAACCTGAAGGTTTTCTTTCAAAGCTTGAGAGCTTCTTCTTCCCTACTTACTTCTTCTTCTAAGTCTTCTACCTAATTATTCTCTCCACAAGTTACCTTACCATTGTATCCTTCTTCTTAAGTTTTTATAAGTTGTAGTGTGCCTTTGTTTTAATATTATTGTTATCTTGTTTATATTTATTTATGTTGTAAGAAAGGAAGGTTGTGTCTTTGCGCTATTATTTTGTTGCATCAATTACCAAGGCATGTTGCCTTCTAGACCCATGGGTGTGACATATATGTTGCTCAACATTATGATATAGCAAGTGTAAATGCAAACTCTATATTTTGATCATTTTTTTCCGATCATTTTTTTCAAAAGAAATCACACAACAACATTTTTTTTTTAACATTTAGATAAAATAACTACAAAATGGCTTCTCATACCACATTAAGTATATACTAATGGTATAATACTGCATTCTATACATTATACATAAATTAACTCCAAAAAAAACATGAAAAAAGCCTTACATTGATTTTAATCTTTGCAAATAACATTTTCCAAAGTTCTCATTAAATAAAATGGAAATATTTGTGTTTCTTGAATCCTTAATATCCAAAAACTTCCCCATGTAATTGTTTGCTCTTGACATATTTAAAAAAAGCAAGACTTGTATGCAAAAGCACATTAAGATAAGTGTCAATTTTAAAATATATGTAAAGGCTCTGTTTTGCTAAATGTTAAAGTAAAAAAGTTCGGAAAGGAAAGAGGATACATGGACTAGGAAAAAAAAGAAAAGGAAATATATAATTGTGTTCACCTATGTAGAAGAACTTTGTTAGGAGATGAAAGATCACTTGAATCTAACGAGGTTTGAATCTGCCTTTAATCATGATGAAAAACTTATTAATGAGCCAAGCCAAGCTCAAATCGAGAAGAGTCTAGATTAGAATTGGGTCAGCTTTAAAATCATATGGGAATAATGCAAGCATGTTATTATTTAGTTACATACATACCACTTTATTTTATGATATTTACATATATAACATCCAAAACATTAATATTACATGCCTACCACTCATAGAACAAATTTGAGTGCATGGAAAGAAACATTAAAGTTTATAAGATTGTATGAATGATAGAAATGAATTTATGAGTGGTATATTTGATATTAAAGTTGTATATGGGTGGTAAGCATGTAATATTAATGTTTTGGGTGTTAACATAAAATAAAATGGGATGTATGTAAATTTTTCTATTATTTATATTTCCAAGTACTTATGCAAGCATACATGAATGCTTGCAAGCATCTATCATTCTATTATGTAGCATGCATGAAGTTCGGATAGCAATATAGGAAATTTTTTTACTCATATTAAACAATCATTTTTTGGCTTGAATCGAGCTCAAATCAAAATCAATAAGCGAGTCTAGCTCAAATTGAGATAAAGCAATACCAAACTCAATCCAATATTGGGTCAGGGTAGGGACAGCTCTAATGAGAAGAGAATGTTCACAGCCTTAAATGCACACCACCTCAAAAACAAAAATAATAATAATCTATGTGTGGTTTAAACAAACCAAAGAATAAGATGATTTAGAAATTGAACTATATAAAAATTTATAGAGACAAAATAATGCGAAGATACCTGAGGATGCTTGAAATTCTAAAGATATCATTGTCAAGTCCCCAACAACTATGAAAGCCAATCTCTTTCACGTTCTCACAAACCACAAACAGTGCTTTCAAGCTTGTTTTATCCCTCAATTGGCACCGCTGCAGCTGCAGCCGCTCGATTGTAGGGCAACATCCAAGATGCTCCATAGGCCCTGCCAAACTAACAACATTCCTGCAACTTTGCAACCTAAGAGTCCTCAAATTCCCACAGTATAATAGGGCTGCAAGCCATCCTCCCTCCATCTTGCTATCATCGCAAATTGTAAGCTCTTCCAGCATTGCACAGCAATGTCCGATTGCACTGATTCCATCAAAGCTAGCTTCACAGCCGCCCAGTTCCAGCTTCACGAGCCTCTTACATCCATGGGCAAGTATAGTAAGCCCAATGTCTGTCACCCCTGGACCAGCATAAAGCCCATCCACTGATGCCACCAATCGCAAAATCTGGAGGTTTTTAAAGGCAGAGATGGGACGGAGGGCTGTGTCGGTGCAGCGGTGCAGCTCAAGCGACTGGAGAGTGGCGCACTCAAGCGCAACGGTGGCGAGCCCGAACTCGGTTTCTAAGGGAGCGACAGTGCAGAGTCTCTGCAAGGCAGGGCAGCCACGGGCAAGCACGTCCAGTCCATTGTTAATGGATTGGGAGTCAAGCAAGGGGAGATCGCCAACAGAGTGGGAGGAAAGAGGGTCCATTTGGAGGGAGTAGTGGCCGCGAGTGAGTATGACTGGTGAGGACGACGATGGGGGTCGGAAAGCGGCAGGAACGAGGTCAACTTCAGTGAGTTCCTGGAAACGAGCGGTGAGGCGGCGCGAATGACCAGCTAAGAAGGACCAGTCGAGCAGGGTAAGGGAGCGACGAAGTCGATCGACAAGACGGAGCCATCGCTTCGATACAAGACCGATGGAAACGAGGTGGGAGCCACGAACAGCCGAGAGAATGCGAAGCAGGAGCTCGTCGGAGAGAAGAGCCGTGACGTCGTGGCCGAAAGCACGGGAAGGGGACGGGGAGCGGGAGCTGGAGCTGGAACGATAAGGGGTGGGATCTATGTTTAGGGTTTGGTCAGCGGGCTGCATCTTGAAAACGACATTCTTGAAAGAGGGCTTGTCAGGAACGAAGAAGTCCGGGCAGCTCCTCAGTCGGTGGCGGTGGTTGTTTGTATGCATCTATGGCTCCAGCGAGTTGAAACGTCGGCAATTGGGCTGCAGGGCGGCGGTGTGACCGTACGTCTCCGCCGCATCGCCTCTTACTCGCTCCGCTGTGTTCCGCTCTAGCTCTTCGTCCTGCAGTTCAAATTTGCCGGTATGAAATGAAAAAATAAAGGTTCAGAAAAAGATAAAATGGAGCGGTGGATTTGGGGAAGCGGGTTTGGGCGTCGAGGGCTGATTTGAATTGATGTTGGTGGGGTTAGAAATTGAAAAATTAGGGATTTGGGATTTTTCCTCCGCTCTTCTGCGATTTCAAAGTGGAAATTGGACGCCTTTTTCTTTTGGTTAAAGGAAGAAGTTTGAGAACTCGAAAGTTCGCTCTTTTTGTTTCTATCTCTATCTGTCGCTCTCTCTCTCTCTCTCTCCTTGTGATTTTACACGCACAGCTTTCTTGTCGAGAGTAGAACAATCTACAGCCATCGGATTCATGGAGGTGAGGTGATTTGACGGTTGGATTTGTAGTTGCTTCTTGACATCTGTACCAAATTTATATCGCCAGGATCTACAGTTAGGGCTCTGTTTTTTACATTTATTTTCATAAATTCATATAATAATACTATTGGATTTGAGAGTTTTCAAAAAAAAATTATAAAAGAAAAAATAAGTACAAAGTATATTTGCTTGCTCTACATAGTTAAATATAAATAAGAATTTAATTGTTTAAATTAATAAAATTTTAATATTTATGATAAATATATATTTATGCATTATTATGATTTTCATTTATCCATATAGTTAACCATTAAATTTTATAACAAATTCTAAAATTTAATTAATAATGCATATTTTAAATTTCTGAGGCTTAAAGTTTATTTTCATTCTATTATAAAATATAAATATTTTATCATTTATTAGGAATCATAAATTAAAAATTATTGGATGATACATAATAATTATATTTTTAATTTACATACTAAAACATTTTGTATTCAATAAGTATTGAACATTTATTTTCAAACTTCTTAGAGTTAACCAAATATCAAAAATTAAAAATAGTTGAATTATTGTTAAATTTTCAGTTTTGAATTCAGACAATATAGTTTTTATAATTCTCACCAAATATATTGACTTTTATTGCAAAACTCACAAAGTCAAGCTGAAGCCTTTGCTTCAACCACTTTACATTCCTTTGAGCTTTTAGATTTGAAAATTTAAATAATTTAGACTACAAATCATCACTTTATGCATTATTATTGAAATATAATGTCAATACTCTCATTCTTTTTGGCAAGTAAATTATTTAATCCTATACTTATAATAAGTTAAAGAGGTTTTTAAATTATATAATGTGTTTAATTAAGAGTTGTCAAATAGAATAATACAAATATCACTTACCAAATCAAACTCATCATATGAGATAATGTAAATTGATCTGCCACATGAGCGGACTAATTAGATCGATGACTACTTAGAATGCAGTCGTTACTCAACCATGATCTTTTATAATCTTTCATCCTCAAAATCAATGCATCTTTCACACTTCACTGATCTTGATTTCCATTCTATAATTTTGTTTAGAGGTTAGTAAAACGGTTATTAAAAGACAACTTTGGATGATGAACTTTGAGCCCTTGAGGATAATCATATATGTGAGAATGTTAAATGTCCTCCAAATTTTAAAGTTATAGGATACAAATAGATTCAGTACATAAGGTTTTGCCCTTATCATAGTTTAGATCATTAGTGGGAGCATTTTGTTTTTCATTGTTAGCAAACAAGAATAGGATTTGCAGAGAAAAATCTTTTGCTCATATTGCTGAAATGATTATAATAAGGAGATTTACATGGCTCTTCCAATTGGTATTTTTGCCTCTTCTCTTATGGAAGTATGGAGATAGGAGCTTTCCCTCTATGGACTGAAACAATTCCCCTATGCATGATTTCATAAATTTTGATCAGCTCAGTTGTAGTTATCCTTTAAATAGAGCAAATATAATTCATTATTATTTCTCTTTAAGACATTTAATAGGATTTCTCTTCTTTAGGTTTATATTGATCATATCATTATAACATGGACAAGGTTAATTGGCTCTGATTACTCCTATACAATAACATCTTTATGCCACATGTCATATGAACTATCTTCATGCTTTTACTTCTTAGCTTGGAGGTTCACATTAATTCCATTAGCTATTTTACTAATAAAAGTACACACATGATTTGCATATTTTGTGTGGCCTCCAATTTCTCATGTTGACACTCCATAAAAATAAATTTAAAGTATAGTTCACCTTTCTACTCCCATGATATTTAGAAAATCGGTAAGCAACTTCAACTATTTGATGATTACTTGATGTAATATTTCCTTCACGATTCAGTAAAATTAATTTATGCAAAATCCGTATCACTTACATTTGCCTAATATTCTACAAATTATTATTTATCTTGTTATGATGTTGAGCTGTTACTTTTTCTTCCATCTATTATTTTATTTATCTTGTAAGACTAAGTATGAAGATTGCGTCAAGTCTTTGAATTTCAATTATTGGTCACAAGTTGGTGTATATTTCTTGATAATCTTTTATCTCATGGAAACATTAAAAGCATCCTCATGTGCTTAAATCATCAACTAAGACTGAATGTTACATAAAATTACTCTATGTTTAGGGATTATTTTACTTCATCAATATTTTTCCAAATTTAGTTTCTTTTTTTTTCAAAGAACAATCTCACTCTTTTATTTAGAAACAATGCTAATACTATTCAAATTGCTATCAATCTAAGTTAGCATAACTACACAAAATACATTAAAATTTCACATATTGTCTCCTCATCATAGCTATATAAACCTTCATTTTACAAACATATTTATGGCTATGACATGGCAATAACATCCATTCCTTATGATTAAAATGATAATTTTTTACAAATATACATCATTTTTAAAGAAGATGTCAAAAAATATATCTTGATAATTGCCTTAATTATCTCTTTGTTCCTCATGGCTAAAACTATGTATAATTAACTCATATGGCTATAAATATTACTAAGAAAATTATAAAATAATCACTTTATATTATACAAATTCTTTCCCACATAATGAGTATAATATTTTAAACGAAGATCTCTCTCTCTTATATCATTATTTTACATGCTAAATATAATAGTAAAATAAAAGAATTCAATAAATAAAATAGGAAGGAGATCATGCTTCCCACATTTCTAATTTAAGTGAAGAACTTCACCAATTAAAATCCCTTAAGCTATTGCCCATATCAAAGTCTTTAATTTCTCCCCACAAGTGGGGGAACTGCGTTGATAATGAAAGGGAAATGGGGCCCGCGATTGGTGATAGAGAGCCGTTGGAAAGGCGCCTAGCAATATTCAAATTGATGGGCTCACATTAGTAGGGTGGGCCCATGTGGCCCACAAATCGACCTTGTGATTTGTTTTTGACCAGTGATGCTAATCACGACGGCTTTGTCAGCTTGTGATGTATGAAGTTAGTTTCTAATATTTCTTTCGTAAATTTTAAAGAATAACGTATTTGAATTGCTATAATGCTATGTCCAAATTTTATTTATTTATATAATAAATATTTTTTATACCTTTCCAAACTTTTAATTAAAAAAATTAGATATTGGCATTGAAAAATCAAAAATTATTTATTTATGTGCTAAGCTTGATTTAATTAATTTTTATTTAATGGCCGTTTGGGCAGAAATATATTTTTTTTATTTCAGCTATCAAGTATTTAATAAAGTGACAGTTGATGGGAAAAAGCTGTTAAGAGCTTTGTAATGATTAAAACACTGCAAATAATTCTTTTTTTTTTTGGAGAATTGACAAATAATTCTTAAAATCTAGTTTAAAATAATTCTTATTTTTAACAAAATATATCATAAAACATTAAAATTTTGATTTTATTTTATGTAGGGACATGTTAATAACCAAAATTAGTAAGAGAAACATATCTATTAAAAAAATTGAAAAGAAATTAATTCATCAAAATATATGATGCATTTGAAATTGTCAAAATGATATAGTACATTATGAATTTATCAAATATTTGGAAATGTTCAGCTTAAGAGAGAGAAAGGTGGAGAGAAAGAAGACAGAAGGTAGGAAGAGTATGGGAGGGGGGGAGAAAGGAACTAATAAAATCATTTAAATATTTTATATATTATTTTAAATATTTTTAATATCAATTTAAATATTATTTAAATAATAAATTTTATTTAATATTATTAAGTTACATATTAAATGAACTTTATTGTTAAATATAAGTAAAATATTTAAAAAAATAGTTAAAATAGTAGTTAATATTTAAAATAAGCGAGATTTCTAGTTACATATTTATTATTAAATATTAAACTAATATTTAAATATTAAATATTAGTTCTTAAATATTACTTTAAATATTTAAAATAATATTTATCTATTTTTTAACTCAATTTTCCTTTGTAAAATTTTATTTTTTAGATATTTAATAATATTACATGAATTACAATAATATTTAACCTGATAATTAAAATATTGAAAATAATATCTAAAATGTTTAAACTATTTTATTAGTTCTCTCTTCCCCACTCTCTCTCTCTCTCCCCGCCTCTTTCTCTCTCTATCTCTTAAGCTGAACACCCTAAAATATTTGTCACATTCAAATATGCCAAACGTCAATATTTTGAAGAATTGACTCCTTTTTAAATTTTTTAATAAATATGCTTATTTTGCTAATTCTAATGATTAGCAAACTCCATAAAATAAAGCCAAAGATTTTTACATACGAAATTGAATTAAAAATGATATGTTATTAGTATTTATTTAAATAGATCAAATGAGAAGTGTAAAATTTGGTAACAATGCATATGAAGATGAATAAAAAAGGCTTTTTTTTTTACTACTTGCGTATGCATGAAAAATGTAGCAATAGAATTATAATTCAGAATTAGGGTCTATAGGATAAATTATTCTGTGCGAAATCCGGTTATAGAGCTGTGTTCGGATGCCAGTAAAATCATTACACGTGGCTTGCTTACGTAGAAAGTTAGGATATTCATTTGACTTCTTACCCGACCAATTTGTCTTTTCGGACTTACTGCAGACGAAGAGAAATCTGCAACAAACAAGCAGTAAATAAACAGTAAATGCGCAACATATATGCAATAAATACGCAACAAATACGCAATAAAATATTCAATCAATACGCACATTTTACGCAACGAATACTCAATCAATACGCAAATCAAATAAATATCGAGGACTTTTTACATATACTCAATCAATTTGCTTCCTCACAATCTTTAAAAATTTCTATGATTCAATTTTACATTTTACAACAAAAATAGTTAAATTATTTTTCTCACCAACAGCTTGACAACACTTGACTACTACTTTTTTGTTGTTTTTCACTATCCCAAATAAAATCTAAGTTATTTTTTTTCACAACAACTTCAAAACCAAATTAACGAGACACCGCAACTGTCCCAAAGGACCCCAACATGTCCTAAATGAGAGTAATAGGATGTGCAAAACATAAAGACGATACATGCAAAGGTTTGATGAACTATTTGATCATAGTTTTGGTGATGGGTTTTCTCTCATTAGTTCAACTGTTTGTAGTTCAATTAAAATTAATATTTTCATAAATATTATTTGCATTAAACTATTTTAACTTACAAATGATATAGGTTCTTTTTGTACTGGCATTCATGCAAATGAAGAAATGGCATCTAGTCCAGGGCCTCCAGACATGCGATTTTTAAATACTGTAACCCAATAAAGGTGGATCCATCTTCAATCTCCTCTTGAATATCAAAGCCCTGTTGGATACCCACGGTTTGCGCCGGCGAGCTTCGCCCACCCACACCCATCTACACCCACCCATGGTAACTTTCGAGATCCCGTTCTGAACCACTCACTTTCTATGCTTTTTTAATGCAATCCACAACGGATTAATGGCCTTGAGACTTATTTCACTTTGCTATGACTGCAAACATTCAAGCCGCATACCACATAGACATACACATATCACATAATATAATACAAAGTGAAGACTAAAGAATTTTAAAAGGTTCATGTAAAAGATGCAAGTATTTTTAAATATTTAACAACTTTATAATTAAATTCTTATACTCTAGTACATTTTAAATCTATTTTATATTAACATATTTTAAATGAACCAACTCCCAAATTAATGAATCGAGTCTAGGCTGGCTCAAATTTGACTCATTAACTCATCAAACTCAACTCATGAGCCATTTAATAAGCTAGCTCACAATCCCAAAATAAAACCAAATCATACTCCCTAGCTACAAAGGTACATTATGTTCAATAGCCCCAAGCACTAGAAAGTTCAATAAAACAACATTAAATATATAGTCTCAGATTCAGACTAAAATGTTGATAACAGCTTCAATCCATCTAATACATTGTAAGCTTCAGTCAGCTCGAAATAATCATAACCACAAAGCTAAGAAGCAGATACAAAGACCCTAATAATAATAATAAAACACAGAGCACCATTGCATTATAAAAGAGCTAGAGACGACTAACCCCAAACTCATCAAACTCCACCAGTTTCCTGTTCAAGAATTTGTCTTTTCTTACCTGTTTCAAAAGTCCATGAGAACTTTAATGGTATTTAAACTTCATTTCGGACAGCTTTCTTACTGCTTTTTAAAACAATTTTTTAATAAATTTTTTTTAATTATAAAATTTTGTACAAAGAAGAAATGCGACATTTTGGAAAGGGAGTTCAGCGGTGATGACAATGTGAGATTTATCAATTTTGAGCTCTAAGAAAATATTTCAGATTTTGAACCCAATAAATTGTGAAAATGTTCCCAATCATCATGCAAGAGTAATGAAAGAAGTTAATCAAATGAGAATCTATGGTGACTAAATTTCTGGTTAGCATGTTGTATGATATTTTTTACCAAATTGATTAGCATATGCAGAACCGTTACATACTTGTTTTTGAAGATAACATTTGCAAATTTTATGATAAAAAAGAAAATCAAAATCAAGTAATTGTCAAATGGAGAGAGAAATTCTACAATCCACTTCGATTATAATGCTTTGAAGACTGAAGTTATTGATGATTCTCTACGTTTTGGCACAAGAATTGTCATAAATTTTTTTTTTATTATGAAAGCTACTAAATCAAAAGAATATGATGAAAGGCTTGCTCGATATTCTAATCAAGGATGATCGATATTGAAAGCTGCATTTTAAGCAACCCAACACAAGAAGTTGTTCCACAAAGAAGTCGGTGCTAAGCAAGCACACCCAGATGGAGCATATTCATAATGATATTTTTGGACCAATGAAAACTCCATCATCGGGTTAAAAGAGGTACTTTGTAAACCATATTAATTATTTTTCTAAAATAACTTGGGGATAGAATTACTTCACCAGAGGAAAATCAGAAACTTCTATGAACTTCAATAAATTTTAGTCATTTCCTCAAAAGCAATGAACATCTTGCACTAACACTATACGAAGTTGACAAATCCACATGAAAAATGCAAGAACCAATTTATCCTGGTTGTCTAAACAATGACACTAAGATTCAGACTTTATGATCTTCAGCGGACAGGGTAGAACAAAGCAACAATACTTATTGGACTTGACCATCGGATCCCTTCAAGATGTGCAAAAGCACTTCCATCAAATACATTAAATTAAAAAAAAAAAAATAGGCCTAAGCCAAGATTGGTTGATCCAATTTATCACAATCAATGCTAACCCCAGAACCATCTAATGACTGAACTTCTATCTCTAGCAATGCGAATATTTCAACCTAAGGACTTCTTCCATTTGCTCGTCGCCCTAAGGGACATAATGATCTAAGACAAATATCGTAGAAGAGGTGTGTTGCTTTTAAACCCTCTAATTGAATAGACAAACAAAATACCTCTCAACTAACAGCATCTCCACTCAGCACAAATCTAAGAAATCTTTTTCTCCATCCACCGATCATAAAATCTAAAGTACAGTTATAAAAGCCGCTAGAATTTTATTCCACATCAAATATTAGCCATTTGTTTCAACTTTTTTAAAATTATCTTGACCATTCAATGGATTTAAAAAATAATTAATAAATCTCAAAATATATAATAATTATATAAATTACTACCGTTACATATATCTCATAAATTAATTATGTTCATTAATTCCGCTTAAATTTACTACCTCAACTAAATTAATTTTTATTATTCTCAAAACTCCCTTCATGTTCCGCCTAAATTACTTCCTTCTCAAAACCCTCTTCATATTCCCTTTTAATCTCGTTTAACCTTTTCATTTAACCTTTTTATTTAACCCGCTTCATATTCCACCTAAATTTCATTTAACATTTTTGTTTAAGTCTTTAATCTTGGTTTTCTAAAATATCGCATGTTTCTTATGTGACTCGTGATTTCCTTCCTCCTTTACTCTTCGGCTTGACGCCTTGCCCTAGCTTCCTCCGCTCACCCATGTTCTTTGGTAGGTTTCTCTCTTTCGGTCTCCTAATCTTCTCTAACATTTCTTCTTACCGGCATTTAGGTCACTCATACATTTCTTTCTCCAATTATTTCGGATTTTTAAACTTCTAAAATGTTTCTTCAATCAGGTTCTTTTCTCCAAATTTTTCAGTTATGAACCTTACATTTTTCTGTTTTCGAAGATGAACTCCACCATCCAAACGTTTCAACAAACGGTTCGCTGCTCCTAAGATAACCGTTGATTATGTTCTCTTTCTCCATCATATATAATTGTTAAAATTATTCTCACATGTTTTTCGTTTAGATATTTCGTGGTTTGCACTTCTTATCTAGTTCTCAACAACCTCGGCTTCAAATGATCTCTACTCTTTCGGCTTTTAGAAGAATGTAGATCTTTCAAAAGCATTTTTTTGAGTCACATGTAAGTTTATTTTGCTATTCCTATTAATCTGGATTATTAAGAATGAAGATTGGCGGATTTGTGAACTTCAATTCTTATAAGCTTCTACTTTAGTAGCAAAATTTCTGTAGTGACTTGCTATTAATGAAAGCTTACTCAAATATTGTTATAGATACATAACAGCCCCGTGACAAAATATTGAATTTACTGTGCGGATCTATGTTGCCAAAAGTGGTTGATTGCTTGTCCTATAATCTTGCTTTTGTATTTTGATTGCCTGCTTCATGTTATGGTAAGAGATTCTCATATGAAAGTGTTAATATGAGGAGCATTATAGATGTTATTATCATGCTTCGTTTTTATATTATTTGTGCTTAACTATCACTTGGGCATTTCATTAGAATTTTGATTATGAAGAGTTACCTGAAGTTCTGAAGTACTATCCTCATGGGTCGAATCCTTTCAAACTCTTTAACATGATATTTGACATATCTTTCCATGGTTGTAACTTGCATAAGTTTGTTTGGTTCAACTTTCCCCAATCTTTCAATAAACTGGCCAACCCTCCTTGTTAATTTTGCTGCTACAGCATATCGAATTTCTCTGTGTGATTTAGGGCAGAAATTAGACTGAGTTTATAAAAGTCACACCTTACAGGGTTATCAGCATGTGTTCAAAGGGTCTACTCCTATGAAGCACGTGTGCAATAGAACACTACAAATATGATCCAGATGGTTACAATATTGCAACAATCTTAGCTAAATCATGGGTGTATAAAGTAAAGATAACTATATATCTGTAAATAGAAGCATCTAGCTAATATTTGAAGAGGGCTTGAGGTGAAACTGTCACCCAGCAAGGTTGCTTCAAAGTGGATCAGCACTCAGAGAGGGAGTACTAACTTTTAGGCACTATAAATTATATGTTTTATTAAAATAACTTTTAGTTTTATAAAGATTTTTGGATTTAATTGGTTTATTTTGAATTAATTTATGATGAATTACCTTTTTAGATATTTATTGGTCTGAATATGAATTATTTGGTATTAGATTTAGTTTTATGGTATGATTAGAAGTTATTTTGCCTTGTCTATGTAAACTTATTTCCAAAAATTATGATTCATGGCTTGTATTTAGATTGTTGATTGATTATTGATTTACTGAATCAAATTATTATTGAGCCAATTATTAGTATTCTCTGTTTATTTGAATTGTGCACGTAGATGACTCCAAATTATAAATGTGAATTTTTCCTATATTCTTTTCTCCTTCATCCTTTCTTTCATGTTCATTCTTCCATTAGTTTGGTATTAAAGCATCCTTTAATAGTATTAGAGTAAGGTGCAATAAATATTATCCCCTTTTTGAATTACCTCTTTCTGTGTTGTTTCACTTGATTGTACTTGCCCGTTCAATTTCCCTTCCACACTTGAGAAGCCATGTATTTATCTATCTCATTTGGGACCTAGACTTGAAATCCACATGCTGCTCTCTATCTTTTCCTTTTGAGCACTCATTTGTAATGCCAATAACAACTTCTAAACACATCACAAGAAAGATTAACTCTCTTTCCAAGTATTATTTTTAAAAATAGAGTTAAATTTTGTCAAATAAACATAAGATGACCATCAAGCTCTTAACTTATTATGTGTGCATTTAAGTACATGCAGCATTATGAAATTTTCTCGCAAGGCTCAGAATTACAACATAGAAGAAACAGGATATACCAAAGATTTATAATTTATTTTGCAGGTATCGGTCATGGACAAATAGCAAACAATCCTTATGCCTGACTTCCATGATCAACATAGCAATCTAGGAACTAGATCTGCTCCATATGAAAAGTTTAGTTAGATGCAAAATAAAGTCCACAACTCGCCACAACTCGCAAGAATCACTTTTAATTCTCAAGTTTATATTCAACGCCATGTGTTCACTGATTTGGAGATAAGACCACATTTATCTATATCTGACGAAATTTGAAGAGAATTGTATCTGAGGAAAGAGTCCAGGAGCTTAAACCACATTTAGACGGTTTACTTCTAACTTATCCTCCAGCACATTAGTTCTAAGAGTTTTCTCCAAGTAAGCAAATTTCAATGATACCAGTTCTGAGTCAAGTCAAAATTCGAACAAGAAACATTCATGTTTTGGTTTCCAGAGCTTTTCCACATTCCCTGAAAACTCTAGCTCACGAAATTTTTCATAATTAGATGCAAGTATGGCGTTTTAAAAGTTGCATTGCAGTTAACTGCTTTATCATTTAAAAATAAGCCAACAAATACTCAAATCTCCATCAAGAAAACCCATGGGAGAACTGATGGTTCAATCATATTTATGGAATGGAATGGTATTTGGTAAAGTCAGACCAACGTCCATTTGAGGGGAGAAATTTTAATACATGCGAGAGTTTCATGTTTTGTTTGATGACAAATATATTAAAAATAAATTCATGTGTATCAAGTGGTTTATTTTATCCTATTATTTTAAACTTATGTTTTAAAATCAGATTATACCGCTGTTGTACCAAGCTCAACTTAGTTCCCTATTTTATCTAACCTCCCTTAAACCAGAAAAATTATTCTGTGCGGACGTGCGTAAAGATGATTTATTACCATAGGTTATGAACCTATCGTATAATAGCAATAATTTAGGGTTTAAATTTTGAATTTAGAAATTGGAAATTTGGAATTTAGAGTTTATCACCATAAACTTAAAACTGGTGGTAGGGGGAATGAAGACGAGCCCGATCAAGATCCCATGGTTCATCGTCCCGGGCTGTCATAATCCCTGGTCTACTTAGTCAGAGGAGGTAGTCGACCCAACCTGACAGAAGGCACCTTGTCGGCAGCCATGGGTTGCTTCGTCCAAGAATACCTTGTAGACCTGGGTTGATGTTTATCTAAGGGATATATATGAATCCCCTAACTGACAGAGGGTTTATGCCTATTGGATATACCCTATATCCATCGCTCAAGGGTTTGACGCTTTAGGGAACATACGGCTTTGCCGTGATCGTAATATAATGGTGTCATTTTGCGGCAAAACACCCGATTAGAGGCACGTGCCACGTCTGTTGGCAAGAGACTATTTGAGGATGAATCGTAGTGATACACCCGACATGCATTCACTCTTTGTGAGCTGAGGTTAATTTCAAATTTATCACCCGACAACATTAGCGGGAGGTGGATGATTTTTTAGTTTTGAGTTTTTTAGGTGATTAATTTTATTTCAAGAATTTGAGTTGTTATTTGATTTGAGATTTGACCCCTCCGGTTGAGATTTTCAGTCAACACGGCCATCATCGGGGTAAGGGGATATATATGAATCCACCTTAGCTGACAGAGGGCTTATGTCTATCGAATATATCCTATGATACGTCGCTCAAGGGTTTGACCCTTTAGGGAACATACGGGCTTTGGCCGTGATCGTAATATAATGGTGCCATTTTGCGGAAAACCACCCGATCAGAGGGCACGTGCACTCCTGTTGGCAAGAGACTGTTTGAGGATGAATCAAGTGATACACCCGAATAAATTTGCTCTTTGTGAGCTGAGGTTAATTTCAAATTTATCACCCCGACAAACGATTGTGGAAGGTGAATGATTTTTAGTCTTAAGTTTTTAGGTGATTGATTTTATTTCAAGAATTTGTGCTTTTGTTAGATTTCAAATTTGACATTTGAGATTTGAAATTTGACCCCTCCGGTTGAGATTTTCGATCAACAAGGCCATCATCGGGGTGATTTTAAATCATTTTGTATTTTGTAGATTTTGGAGACATTTTGGTAATTCAAGTTATTTGTCAACTGCCGGTCCTTTCAAGGAGGAATGAAACTTTGAATATTTGGCCCGCGTAGCATTCTCGATCGTTGAATTTGGACTTTAGATTATAAGATCGGAGCACATACGGGTTATGTATTTGACCCTGCGCATGCATCTCGGTCATTAATTATTTATACTTTTAACATGTTGACCGGAGCACATGCAGGAATGATTTTAGTTTAAGGGATATATTTAATAATAAGGGGATTTTAAATATTTAAATATGATCCATTTGCGAGGGTGATTTTATTTAGGAAATGCCCAAAATTTTATTTAAGGGGCCTACAAACGCCTTCTGTCCGCTTGCACACATGTTGTGGATCCGGTGGCGTTGAATTGTAGATTGTAGACGCCTTCTGTCTGCTTGCTAAGTATTGCAGATCCGGTGGCGTTATAGCTTGTGTAGATTTCAGTTATTACATTTAGTTTATTTTAACCCTTCTAAGTGTCATTTAGCACATATTGAGAAAGTATTTCTCAATAGGCATTAAGAGATCATGTTTCGTATTTGTAGGAGAATTATCTTGCTTGCTATAAATTTCATATTCTCCTCGTAGGTAGACTGATTTATTAATACAATCTCCTTTATTCTTGCTTGCAAATTTTGTTGTTGTGGGCACTACATCTCCCTCATTTTTATTTTGATGGTGACCTAGACAATTTTTTCAATTTCTTTGAGTATAAGATCTTAATGATATATGAGATCATCAGTTCTTCAAATCATCAAATTGTGACTTTTTTTATTGTTAAACACAATTAATACATTGCTCATTAAAACTTTCTATAACTTTATGGTTTCATCACATGCATGAATGGTTAGGTCCATTTGGAGAACCCAAAACTTTGAGCGATGCTAAGTCTTGATGCATGCTCATTTATATAAAGAATATTTAAAGACGATCCCCACATAACAAGGGGTTTCCAAAGAATTTCATAAGAACCTAGAGAAGTTTTTCGTTACAAGACATCAAATGACAATTAATTGTCAAATATTTTATTGTCCGAGGCACATGAATATATATTATTATATATATATACTATTATATTATAATATTATATATATATATATATAAAGTATAAACAGAGAGAGGGAGAAGGATCGGGAAGATGCCCGACGGCCTTCGGGTCGGAGGGGCACGCACGCGGCGATTGTGCGGCTTCGGAGCGGGCAGCGGGTCGGTGGCGTCGGCGATCGCAGAGAGGTCGGCGGGTCGATGGGCCCTGGGACGCGAGGTCGGCTTATGGCTTGGCCCTGGGTGGTATCGACCGGAATTATAGGGTAAAAGATTCAGTCGGATCGGTTGGAAGACATAAACCGGGCTTGCGGGGCCGGATGCGCTGGTCGGACGGACTGGGGCGGAGGCGGAGCCGGAGTCACGTCGGGTTCGCACTTTCTGTAAGAATGTGCATGGAGGCCGCGTATCTTTCGGTGATAGCAGAGAGGTAAGTTTCCCTCATTTTCTTCCTTGCATTTTTTCTTCTTTTTTTTTTTGCGTTTCTCTTGCGTGTCTAACCGTCGAATAAGAGAGAGATTATTTCGTGAGAGGGACGGACAGTTTGCGATCGTGTATGTCGGTGGGGAAGTCGGTGGGTGAATCGTCGTGTTGTTTGGTTTGTCGGTGATTTTGTCGTTACAGTCAACAGCCACAAAGTTTATTTGTTTTTCATAATTTTCATAATATTCTTGTGTGATTGTTGTCATCAAAACTGTGATGTAGAACGGGTACGCCGGCTTTGCTAGGGAGAGGATCTTCTCTCAAAATCTGAAATAAGTTTCTTG